GGGCCGGGTGGGGGTTGGGAACCGGTCTGACCTGGACAGGTGGCGTGGGGCGACCGCAGCGCCCTCAGCTCGGCCCGGCCGGGACTGCGCTCCGGGGCCGCACAGCGGAGTCTGGGCGCTGGGTCACCGCCCCGGAGAGCCCTGCCGAGTGACGCCGGTCTCTGCCTTGCAGGAATGAATTCAACTACTTCCAGAGAATGACCACAACCACCTCAGTGGAAGGTAACGGGAATTCTTAAGGGATTGGGGGAAGGTGGCTTTCCAGTGTGCGTTCCGTGCAGCGCCTTCCGTGCTACGCTGGGATCCTTTCTCTTACTAGCAATCTGAGTGCAGTTCCCAGGGTTCCGCAAGCATTTGCGTGTGTGTGTGTGTCATTTTGAGACAGGATCTCACCATGCAGGTGAGGCAGGCCTTGAGCTCCCTTTGTAGCCCAGGCTGTTCTCGAACTCACAACGATCCTCCTACCTCAGCCTCCCGAGTGCTGGGATTACAGGCGTGAGCCACCACGCCCAGCAAGCATTTGCTCTTGTTTTATACTTTTTAAAATTTTGTATCAACGAAAATGTGCCACTCGGGTAATGGACAAAATGGGCAGCTAAGCAGAAGCCTGAGTCAGAGAAAGTGGCCCTTGGAATGTAGCTCAGAGGAGGTCTTTGGTTTTGGGTTTTTATTTGGGGAACTGGGTCTCACTTTGTAGCCCATGCTGGTGTCAAACATACTCTCGATCTTCCTGCCTCAGCCTCCTGGATGATAGCTAGGATTGCAGCCTGCACCGCCTGGGCAAGGGGGGCACTTGGAATAGCTGCGAAAGCTATAGACGATAATGCCTAAGTCAGTTCCACAGAGAAGAGAAGAGCTTTCTAGCGCATCTTGATGATTCTAGATGTTGGGTGTCTGGCAAAGAAGGGATGAGAATCGAGAGTTGTAACACTTGTGATGAACATGACATTCACTAGAGAAGTGGGTAATCAAAAGAGGATATGTTTAGAAAAAGGTAAGGAGCTCATGGAACCACGCCCGTGCATCCTGAGAACAGGCAGGTCATTTACTGCGCCTTTGACCCAGGTGTCTTTTGGCTCTCAGTTTTTCCTAAGTAATTAAGAAATAGGACCTACATGTATAAATTGCTTATAGGAGAAAAGGATAGAGACACAGCTCAATGTGTTTCAAGGTAAATTGAGTAGAATATCACAGACTTTTTCTAAGTGTGACAATTTAAATCTACAAAGTACAGAAATATGAACCACTATACTATATTAAGCAATTAGGACCACACTTACTAGCTGTTGAGCAGTTTTCTAAGTCCTTTTTACCCTCAACAATTGATGTGGAAACTACTCTTTTATTACTAAGGGCATAAAGTACAAAGAGTTAACAAGACTTAGCTAGTGGATGACAAAGTGCATTCAACTTGAGCACTTCAGCCTGGAATCTTTACTATTATCTATGTTGCAGTTAAAAGTTAATGCTGCTTATAAATTGGATAAAACCAAAGGTAAAAAATAGGAATCATATATAGGTAACAAGTGATAAACATGAATTATGACAAAGCTGTTTTGCTGTTCCTGTGGAGCTTGTTATTTTGCAGTAGTAGGTATGTAACCCAGGGTCAGTGTGCTGGACAAGCACTCTACCCCAAGGCACATATATCTCCTGTCCTGATTTGCCTCTTAAAAGAAAATCCGCTAGAGAACACCAGGACAGTCATGCTTGTACATATTTGTGTGATGATGTGAAAACAACATGTAAACTCCCAAGACAAAGTTATCACTTCTGTGTAACTTTATAGGTAAACAGAATCTGGTGGTAATGGGTAGGAAGACTTGGTTCTCCATTCCTGAGAAGAATCGCCCTTTGAAAGACAGAATTAATATAGTACTCAGTAGAGAACTCAAGTAAGTATCATAAACATAAGCTGATCAAAATAAAATCCTGTCCTATTTCTTACAGTACAGAACAGTGATATAAAAGCTCGTTAATGTCAAAGGTCACAGAAAGTGAATAAGATGTTACACTAAGTGACAGTTTATTCTGCTGCTTACCTGATTGGTAATATGTATCACTTTGAAAGTTACATTAAATCTGACTATGATAACAAATTTTTCAAGAGTCAGGATACACAGTAGGGGCCGAGGAGATAGCTCAGTAGAATAAGTGCCTGCCTGGCAAGCGCAAGGGCCTGAGTTCAATCTCTGATTCTGCCAAAAATAAAAATAAAAAATAAATTTAAAAAAGATACACAATGTAATCAATTACTTTTTCCCTGTTAACCATAACATTCAAATAACAGTTTGCACTTCACCAGGAATATGACGGCAAGTCTTTCAAAGTATTGAAGTGGTACCAGAATCCTCTAAAGAAATTGTCTGAAGCTGTCTCTGCTAAGAATTTTCTTGTCCTGCACACTGACGCAATCTCTAGTTCCTGGGACTCTGCGGGGGAGGGTAATTGCGAGTGACTGGAGGAGCAAGAAGCTCAGTTGCTTCTCTTTTCTTCTTTCTCATCAGTCCCCAGGAGAGCTTTATTCCTTTCACATTTATAAATTATTCTACCCACTTAAAAAGTCAGA